ATATATATATTAATGCATTTACTCAATCGTTTAGCTAACATTATCTGCCTCCAACAACATCACTCAACTTATGTAGGGATTTTGGGAAAAAAACTGAAGTTTTTTGCTTTTTGCTGCTCTGGTTCCAGCTCTGCAGCAGAAGCACATCTCCCCTCGGTGATCCAAAAGCTTATTTTTGTGTTAGCTCATGGTGCGTTTAAAGACGGCTTGGAAAAACACGGTTCCGCATCTTTAATACTGGAAACTGTTGTAATGGTTGAAGAAATTGCGGGGCACAGAGGGCACAGATACAGAAAGTGCAGGGGGACATGTCCCACGCGTACCCCACATCCATTACGCCCATTCAGGGCTCAAACACCCAAAACAGAAATTGACCCCTGCAATAAATCATTTGAGGAAACTATACTTTAAAGCAATATATTAATAAAACTCACACAATTTATATATTTATGAAGGCAAAGTGATGCACATGTGCCTCTAAAAAAATCACTTCTTGGACACAACTAATATTGTCATTCCTCTGGGTCGAACCTAAAACCACAATAGTCAGCAAAATATGCAACTTTTCTGTCTTTGATTTGAATTTTTATACTTCCAACAGTTTTGCACAACCTGAAGGGTCAATCTAATCAAGGGTTTCAATCACTTGTTATTTAATGCAGTAAAATGTGTTGTTGCTGCATTCACAAATCACACAAAGAGAACACAGAATAAAAACAAACACACAAATAATACAAATGGTCAACAATTCTGAATTTGGACTGGAGAGAATCAACCAGTCCCAACCAACCTACACAAAGAAATTACATCAGACGTTGACATTACGCATGGCTGTAGTAAACAGGACATAAAATCACAAACTAACAGGGATACACTGTTGAAGTGAAGGCGATTTCCTGTACTTGTTTTCTCATCCCGTCACCAATCCGTCCTGTACCCAGAATGCATTGCTTCAGTTCTCCGATAAACAGTTTAAAATTACTGATATAGCTGCATGCTTTCTTACTGAAGCCCTAACATAAACACAAGAAAACAACCAAGAAGCAGCAGAATTAGCAATCCACAACAACATGAGTCTGTTTCAACAAATCACCTCCCCAAACTACGGCAATCTGTGCAACGCTGTAAATGTCAGATGATGCACCTCTAGTCAATAATAATCTGAGTGTGACTCATGGAAACATTGGAATATAAACTGGTGATCTCTGGGTTAAATTAAATCTGTACTTTGAACACTTAGAGATTCAAGCCCTGCATTAACAGCTGCAGTCAACACTTATTGTCAGCAAAATATGTCCTGGACCACTGAATGGAACTGAATGAAACTATCAAAGTATTTAGCTGATGTAAATCTACAACTAGTTACCTTTTGGAGAAAATTCAATGTAAAATTGTTGCCACAGTTGGTAAAAGTGGGTGTGGTAATTAGCAGACAATCGTTGACAACATGTACACAAACACACCCAACAGATCACAAAACTACATGAAACTGTGAATAATGTGATCATCCCAGTCTGACCAAACTGACTAAAACTCATTTCTTATCATAAGATGATCTTAAGTTGATTTAAACTCTGAAATATGTGAAGATATTTGTTCTGTGACAAAATTAAATCTTTTTGTTCTTTCACAGCCTCTGAGAACTGGTTCTGAGCACAAGCTGCAGGCAGGACTTTTTCTCTCAGGTGCATGCGTCAAGTATTGTGTGATTGGTCAGAACTTTGTGGGTGTGTTCATAATTCATTTCTCCCATTCATGACAAAGTCCTGAACAAAGTGCTTGTGATGAATGACTCAGCTGCACTTAAGTGAGTTCAGTATTTCTAAAACTGACATAATTATACTTGTTAAGCTATGTCAGCCATCTTGATTTTTTAAACTTTATTTAACCAGGAAGTGCCAATGAAATTAAAAACCTATTTTTCAAAAGAGACCCGTCCCAGACATGCAGCAGCATATAAAACACATGGTTCCCACATACAGTAAGACAACCACATTAAAACAAATTGAAAAACATTCGAACTAGGTTGAGCATGTTAACTCTGTATAACCATGTTAACACATTAGGGTTTGCCTTATTGGTTTAAAGTTTCTGAAAATGCATTGAACCTTTTTTATATGAAACAGAACATGAAAAGAGCTCTAAACATCTTTGAGTCATAATTACATTTTGTGCATAATAATCATAATATTCAAAAATGTAAGGAGTTTATTGTCAATTCAAAAAAAGTGCATGAAGAGAGATTCTGATGTTCCTGCTGTCAGCAATGAAAATCACAAAAAGCAATAAAAAGATAAAAAGAAAAACAATAAAATAATAAGAATGTACATAATGCGTACACACAAACATTCACATTCAGCCATAGTAAACTGATCATTTCTAAAATAAAAAATTAACTGCAAATCACAAAAATATCTTAAT